AGGGAACAGAAAATGGGGTCAGAAATAGGGTGCAGTGAACTGCAAACGGGGCCAGAAAAATAGGGTGCAGGGAACCGCAAGTTGGGGTACACACATGCATCAAATTGAACATATGTATACCAGAAATGCTCACAAGGGGACATCGGCCAAATGACCTAAATACACCAACCCTGATGAAGGGCACACAACAATGACAGGCAACGGACGAGAGCAACCACACAACAATGGACGCATAAGAAGGACATAGGGCATAGCCACGCCAGTCTCAACATGTGCACAATGAGAATGAGCTTGCCGCTGGAACATGGCCAGATGCACCCGGCACAATTTTGTCTTTTCACATTTCGAGAGTGGTGTGGCGAGGCCCATAGTGGGGCCTCGCCGCACTGCTCACCAAATGCACAAAATACAAAAATGATGGCGGTGCACGTTTCCATGTTCTAGCGGAAGATTCATTCTGATTTTGTACGTTTGGTGAGCGAGGCCCAATAACAGCGAACGAGAGCAAACACACAACAGTTGGCGCAGAAGCAAGAGCACAATGACACATCACATCGCTCCCAAACGCGACTTGATAGGCTTGATTAAAATAAGCATCAAGGGGGCGGAAGGGGGGGGGAGGGGGAGGGGGAGGGAATGGAAAATGGGGCCACAAATAGGGTGTAGAAATAGGGTGCATTTTATACGGCGGCGTTAAGAAAGGGTTTGGTTTTGATTTGGGAGCAAAGTTAATAGCACGAGTACGGTTTAACGACAGAATCAGTCTTACAGGAGTACGCAGACTTCGTGATAAAAAGATTTATGAATCTGGTTTTGCACCTGGAAGTAAGGACATTACGAAAAGAAGGTCAGGGATGTGTGGACAAAAAATCCACCTGTCACTGATATCTTGTGCAATCATCGCAATGCCGCCTGACAGGAAGTGCAGGCCTGCACATGCACAGGGTATGATTTGCCCCAAGTTGAGGGCCATGTACGATGTCAGCTATCAGAAATACAGGGGGTTCCTACAGGAATGCAAAACAATGGGAAAAATGTTCCTCTATCTCGGGAGGAGTCTCGAGTCGAGATTCTGGCAAAAGAACTGACGGAGTCTTTGGTAAAACTGGAAACCCCGACCACTAGTTGGGTTGACGGTCGATGTCAAGGAAGGGCAGACTGCGCCAACGGTCCGTCGGGAGATGCAGTAACACAGGATGAGCACTCTGCACACTTAGAAGCTGCAAACGAAGTCAATGTCAAGGAAGTCGGTGGCTGTTTGAACGCAACTAGCAGGAATGGCGTCGACATATTCATGGACGATGCGTTGAAGATAAAAAACCGGTTTTGAGACTTGGCCTTCTCTCCGGTCGATCGTAACGCCTGGGAGACGGGGAGAAATCAAGCCTGAGCCTGGTGGCACGAAGTGTTGATTAGATCCCAAGCGAAACGCTCGCGCTTCCAGTCGCCTGGAATGGAAGTTCAGGCTGTATCATCATCCCATCCCATCTTATATATATATGGGATGTCTGGCGTGCAGTCATTGAGGCTTTACGGTCTTAGACTTCCTTCCCTGCTGATTGTCCGCCCCGACGCATGTGCTAATGTGTCCCAAACTGTATTACGATGCTATGGGAGTTCTGTCCGTACGCAGCTCGGGGTAGGTTGTGGTAACTCGGATTAACTCGAGTGAAACTGTGATCTGGGAGAATGCAAAACAGGATGCATACTACCAAGAAAGATGAAATAGATTGAGAGAAGAATTTGTGTGTGAAAAAAAAAATTAAAAAAATCCTTTTTGTATATATATAAAATAAAAAAACAAAAAAAAAACAGGACTGTAAGCGACGAGAGCTGGACACCTTGGGAAAATGGGATGGGAGCGGGAAAGCGGGATGTGCCTACGTGCCACCGAAACATAAGGATTTAGCACGTTTTTGGCCGATCTGCACGACATACCGTGAGCCGAGGGTGCAGATGTGCAAAAAGGTATCAAGAGCTTTGAATCTGTTGTTGGACTCGTTACCCCGGTCACTGTAATTTTTTTTTTTATAAAGAAACTGAAAAGTCTCAATCATACGTGAAACCTCAATACCAAAGCGAACGATAGATGAGAACACAGCCCAGCTAAAATGAAGCTATGGCTGGCAATTATTATACCCTATTTTAATTTACCATCAGCAAGTTTACTGGCTGATAGGCTAAAATAATTGCCAGCCAGAAGAGAGCAAATGGGCAGATGAAGAATGCGTACAAGGCAAGGAAAGCAGATGTATGGCAGCGTGCTATGATATCAAAGATATGTTTAGTTGGCTGCCCCACTGCGAAATCCTGAAGGCATTGGAGTGGATTCTGTGCTGCTTTAGGGATAAGCAGGGGATTAGGGTGAATCCACGGGGAAAGGGGCGACCTTTGTCGACTATTGAATTGGCAGAAGATATTCGACAGTTTGTAGTTTTTGTGCTATCGCATACGTACACTGTAGCACATAACATTTTGTTGCAGCAAGTTTTTGGTATTCCTATGGGGAAAAAGTACAAGCCCACCACTTGCATGTATTATGTGCATTGTGCACATGCAGAGTGGCGGTTTCTCGTTACTTTGGGAAAGGATCGTAGACTACTTGGTAGTGTTTGGTGTTAGACTGATGGATGATGTGTCTTTATTCCTGGCCTATTAGAGCGCGGACTCCATTTCTATTGGTACGGCTGACCGAATTCGGAGGAAATTTGAACGCTGTTATCCCAAGGCACTAACCCTGAAACAAACGCTCGAAAAAACAGGGTCCTGGGACTTCTTGGGCTGCAAAATGGAGGTGAAAAACGACTATCCCTATTTGCGTATCATTGGGCGTACCAACAACGACGAAACGATGTGGACCTCCGGCGAAGTGGTGTTCAAATCTGGACAGGACTTCTTCCAACTCCCCGTCAAGCAGAACACAGAAGGCGGCCTCGATTACCGTATGGTTGAACCGGATTGACCGCAACACCACAGTCAGGACCAGTATCCCTTGACAAGTCTTGACATTGCGAAAGGAGTACCGGGCGAAAGAGTTCCCGGACCATTTTGTCGGGACGGTACGGGGAAATTTTGCTAGGACACGTGTGACGATATGTGGAAATTCACTGCAGCATTACTCATAGTTTGGTAGGAAGTTGAGATAGCTTGACAGTTAATAACTTTCTGATTGTTATATGCGTCCTCTTTCATCGACATGGCGTCGCGGGGTAACTCCGGCGGCTAGGACTAGTGGAACGAAGGAGTAAGAGTCTAGGGGCGAAGAAGGTGGGAGAAGGTGGGAGTAATTCTCAAGACCGTTTCCGAAGTTCTCTTGGGTAAAACCACTTCAGTTTTTTTTTTTTTTTTTTTTTTTTTTAAACAC